GATGGATGTATAGATGGAACAGTTCAGTTTGCTGCAGCACATGGTCCTTATTAGCCCTGTGGTGTCAGCTATTTTGTGCCGTGCATCATTATCCTTTTGGTTAGGATATAAAACAAAGGCTGGCTGCTGTGTGTGTGTCTGAGAGGAGGTAGTTAAAACATGCTGTTGTTGAGCTGCCGTCGCCTGAGGCTGCACAGGCAGACATCTAAACAATGCTCAACGAAGAGATGTGGTGAGAACAATTGGTTGACAATGCAAAGTTTTTATATTATCGTAAGAATATCGACTGATTGTCAGACACTGTGATTGTTTTTTAATGTTGAGCACATAAAAAATGATCTCTGTAAAAAAATATGTATTATGGCTCTGCAAGAGAACCTTCCTTAACCAGGTTTTAAGATAATAGAAGCTTTAGATTCTCCACACATGGTGGTGGTGTTGTAATGGTTTGGGAAGTTTGCACCTGAACAACTTTTAATAATCAAGGCAGCCATATATTCTGTTTTTAACATGAAAACCCTGGAAGGAAATAATAGGACATTGGTTCATATTGTTTACCTCAGAATGTTGAATCTAAAAGAAACCATAACATTGAAGCCTTAATGACTGAAGAAATTAAAGTTTTGAAACAATACGTTTAATCAAACTGCTGTGTTATGATCTTAAACCACCTAATAAACATAATTATCATTTCAAATCTGCATCTTTATTTACTTAGGTTATATTTGACGGATATTAGAATTTATTAGATGGCCTGAAACATTTTTGCGTGACAAAATTAAAAAAAGCCATTATCCGCCATTATCTACTCCTTTTTAAAACTTTTGAATCAATTTGGCTGTATGATCTTGTTGAACTTTAAAGTGCCTTGAGATGACTTCTGTTGTGAATTGGCGCTATATAAATAAACTGAATTAAATTGAATTGAATTAAAGGTACTCTAATGTTTCGTTGCATGACTGAAGAAAACTGCCAGGAGAAAATAATGGATAGAAATGATAATGGTTTGATTGATCTATCAAAAAAAAAAAAGAGTAAAAAAAATGTTATTCTTTAGTAAAATTAAAATCTTTTAGTGGTTACTATATGATTCCCCCAAAAAATCCCTATTTACAGAGTAGGAAGATTGGTATCCTTATCAACCATCCTCTACCGTCACTGCAATGTAATGTCAACAAAGCTGTAGACAGAACAGACAACTTGAAGAAGTATCTCTTTATGTTACCTGTGGGCAAAGTGAAAGCTCTGTACAGCCTTTATTTACAGTGCAAACCACAGGACAAATACCTGCTTTTTTTAAGGGGAAATATAAATAAAAAAGTGCAGAAGGAGAACCTGAAGACAGTTGGCCGCAGTTCAGAGAGCAATCAGGCCTCTGGCTTGTTTGTCCACCTTTATATATATAGAGTTTGTGGCTTTGGCTTCACCTCTGTCATAACAGCCAGATTCTCTAATTCAGCAGTGTGGTTAGGAGTTTGCAAACCACAGAGTAAGACGCGAGGGTGTGTGTACTGTATGTAAGTTTTAGACTAAGCAGTGCACTTTAGCAGATTTATCAGTGTGTGATTAGACCTTTATTTGCTTTTTAAGAGGTTAAAATTTGTTCTGATCAGATTTTCTTTTGAGGGTGAAAAAGATTGCTCTGCAATATTTCAACAATCCTCACAGAGCTATCTCTTACAATGTTTTTCATATTACAAAATTGAAATAAAAGTGGAGCAGGTTTGCAAACACAAACCTCCCTTTCCAAGTGCAGTGAGCTAATCTTATCTTTTTTTTCAGGACGGACTCTCAAAATCAGACTCTTGCAAGGACAATTACTACGTAAATGGCTCCACGTGCTGTAAAAAGTGTCCACCAGGTAACAATAAGCACGTGCACACGCACACACATGCATGTGGAACTAAAACACAAGCATGCTGAGAATACTCTGTCTGCTTTTCTCAATGGAATCAACAGGAAGTAAAAAAAAAATGCTTCTTTTATTTCCAAAGTCATTTCAAAAGAGGAAGGATGTTTAAAAGTATACTATTTGGCTGGAAATAGCCCCAACAATTGTTCCCAAAACCAGTCACATACAGGTTATAGTTGGATTTTGATGCTAAAAGTAGGTTCTTCTTAAAAAGAGGAAAGAGAATCTAAATTTGTGGATTTGACGCATGTCCGTCTGCTTTTCCTCTTGCACTTTTTAAGTGCCTACTGTAGTCATGTACTTGTTGTTTTACGTTTCTCTATCTCTCTGATTGCCTTTTTTGTAGGTCAGCGTGTGCTTTCTTCCTGCAATGAATCCCGGGCCACTCTATGTACAAACTGCAGCCATGGTACCTATCAGCCTGGCTGGACGGGGAGCAGTAACTGCATCAAAAAAAAGTTCTGTGATACAGGTCAGTACCTGCAGCTTTTCTCCAAATAGGGAAATCCTCTGTCTTTACTAACTTGTTCATTACGCCCTAGGTAAGGGATTTATGAGAAGAAATGAGCAGAGTGAAGACTTGACGAGGGAGGAGCAATGTCTATGCCGACCTGGTTTTCAGTGTTCTCTTATCAACTGCGAGTTCTGTGAGATGATTCCGACCTGTGGGCCTGGTTATGGACTTGAGGAAGATACTGGTGAGAAAGCCTAACAGAAAAAAAAACATTCATGCATGTCAAACTAGTACGGATGATTGAACATCGCTGTTAAGGGTGTTTGTGCCTATTTTCTTCCTTATTCAGCTTCAAAAAATGGAAGGAAGATCTGTGTTGAATGCAAGAAGGGCTTCTACTCTGCTGAGAAGGATAAGGAAGAATGCAAAAAGTGGACAAAGTAAGAAAAACACTCTGAGATAACAGGACATACTGTATGACGGTGGTTAAATGCACTTGTGTTGTTCTCTTATCCCATAAGATAAATGTTGATCAAGTCCTATCCAGGTGTTTCAGATTCAAGCTTAGAATCTAGGATATTTTTTCTTGGTTTGCTTTTTGAGCAGAACCTTTTTTATGCAACCAGACTAACTTATGATATATATTGTTTCTGAAATTTGAGGGTAAATGTGCAGGGAGGCAACGGGGGCGTTGGGGGTGGTGGTGATAGCAACCTACCTCTGCCAAAGGGTCTTGCTCCCCCACTATCATTTTATGTCAATAAAATATATTTTTTTTTTCTCCAAAAGCCTCTTAAAACCATTCACATAACAAAATTTTGTTACTAATTTTGTCCTTAATTAGAGATGTAATCTAACCCCGCCCCATCAGCAGTAGAGTCAACCTAAGAGCATAATGAATAAAATATCTTATCTATAAAGATTGTTAGCATATTTCCCTTCAGCTAGCACAATAAAAGTTATGACAAGTAAAGCTATGAAAAAAGTCACTTACAGCCAGTTTTCTCTAAGCTGCACACTTCTCACTCATTCTCAACTCACAAGACAATCTATGCCGCATATAAAATAAAACCCATAAACTGTAAATCAGTTAGACCAATAACATTCTTTTCTGTATCGTTTTAAATCCTTGTATCATTTGTCTTTCAACTTAAAACCAAAAAATATGAATATGAGAAATAACAATCTTTTTTCCCCAAATTCCATGACATAATCTAGAAAAATGGAGAACTCTTGTTTTTTCTTATAATCAAATATGTTAAAAAGGAAATAAATGGGAAATACGTTCATCCTATTATTGTCTCGTTTTTGGCTCTCATAGCATCTTGTCTTTATGACCGCTGTGACAAATGACCCCAATCTGCTGGAGGCTGGATGTCCAAACCTGTTTTATTAAATAAATCAGCTGTTCTTGCACATTTCAATCCAAGTTTCAAATATCACTATCAAATCTTGTTTTATGATAAAAATTAATTAATTAATATATTTAATAAAACTTCAGTGTTCAGCAAATGTCTTTATTCAGTTAATTCAGCGCATCAAACATTGCTCTGCATAAATATAAGAATATATGGTGGCAGTCCAAATTGTTTAGCAGTCTAGGCTCCCAGAACATTGAAAATCTACAGACAGTTACAGGAATTTATACAGTTTTACAAGCTACAGTACATAATATTGTGCAAAATGTTAATGTTAAAATGAGAAATAGAAAAAATAAAAAATATTTTAAAAAATGTTAACGTTTCAACATGAACAAAAAGTTATGTCTGAACGGTCCTTTCTATCAGGGCAGGTCTCTTACATATAGCATTACTACACACCTCATGAACAACAAGTTTGTGTTTTTTTTATTTATTTAAGTAAATCACTAAAATTAATAGTGAACTAATAGAACTAGCTGCAGTAATCTGTTATTCTTTTAATAAACAATGTAACTAGTTATGATCCTCCTGGGTTTAGAACAAGTTTAATATTGGTGTGTGGCCTCAGCGTGCACATCTGATGTTGCTCACAGTGGTCCTCAGTGAACACAGGGTGTGTGCCCAGAAACATGAAACATTAGAGAGAACATAGCTGACAGCTCTATATAATTAATATTAAAACAATGAAGCATAATTCAACCACATTACATCTGTTCTGTTAGTCTGGCATAAGAAAGAATTAAGCAAGAATGTAGAATTCAAATTGAGTTCATCTGCAAAGCCTCATGTAGAAACTGTTCACAAAAGGGAGGGACATTCAGTATAATTCTTCAAGCTCGTTTGTTATCTGCCTCCCATGTTGAGTTTTTTTTAGCCAATCACAGCAGCAGTAGTAGCTGAGACATTTCACATGATTGATTATTGATTGTTTGTTTCAAGTTAACTAATAAATCAAACTCTTACCAAATCCATTCGGTAGGAGCGTACATACATGTTCCCATCCAAAGACGCAAAAATTGCCTTTTGCTAATTTTTCAATAAAAAATACAAGGAGCCAGTTTTAGCTACTGTAAGCTAAAACAGTGATGAAATGCACTGATGTCTATGACAACAGTGCATTTCATCACCCTGAAACTTTTCAGTAATGAGGCCTTACTGCATTACTGACACATCTGCTGGCTTCCAGCAAGATGTATTTTGGGGGGTCTGTACATTTAGAATTCTCGTTACAATTCATCTTGTTTGCAAGGTCTGTTAGATTGGTTAAACAGTAAACTGGCTGCCACAAGGATAACATTTTAGATATAACTGTTTGTGTGAACCAAGTGAATATGATAAATAGTTCCTGGTACCATATTGTTATGGACCTCTTGTCATAATAAATGGGATTACATTTGGATTCTGCCAAATTATAATGCTTGCAGCTTGCAGATCAGAAAGTGGAGTCATTTCCAACTTGTTTGGTAAAAAAGTGAGGGATGAGAAGTAAGAAGAGAGGGAGATTTGGGGAAGGAAGGATGATAGAGAGGCTTTAATAGTAACAGGCCACGCATTTTCTTGCCCATCTCAGCAATTGTCACCCCAAGCTCTTGATGGCAGAAATTTCTCCTGTATTTTGACTTCAGTTCTTTTTCTTATTTGTCTTCTGTATTTATTTTGTAGAACATTACTTCTTTTTGATGTTATCTTTGTTTCTTAGAAGAGAAAAGTACATAATAAAAGGTATCAGGTGTTCCATTTGTTGAAAAATCTAAGGTTTCTAACATATTTCACTGAAGAAGTTTAATATAGACCTTTTCCCCTCTATGTGACATTTTCTACATCTAATCTTGAAAAATTATCACAGTACCCCTGTAGACTTATATGTATAGAAACTATGCTCCAGATGCCTTTTTATATATATTTACATGACTGAAATATTGTTTGTCAAATGTATTATGCATATTTAAAAATGTAATAAATCTATTACAAAGTTTGAGAAACAGGGTTTAGATAAATTTGAAATTTCTACTATTTTTTATTTTGATTTAGATTTGACTTTTGATTTTCAGTTCTGTTTTAGCTTTAATTTGTTATTTGTAGTTGTTACCTAGTTTATTTTAGTTTGTATTCATTGAAAATGTTTAGTTTCAGTTTTAGTTTTATTAACTTCAGTTAAAGTTTTAGTATTTTATGTGATGCAACTTACATACTGGGGACAAGACCAACAAAAACCAAAATAAAAGAAATAAAATCCCAGATAAGGGATACATCTCTGCAATCTGCTGTTGTAATAAGCTACAGTGAAAAAGCTAAGCAAAAACCGTGACCACAAACTAGACCTTTATTAATGCATTATGATAAAAACAAAACGAAGCACGCTCTGTCTTAAATTTCCATTAGTTTTCATTAGTTTAATTATTAAAGTTTCAGTTAGTTTACAGTTTTTTTGGTCTACTTTTTATTTTATTTCAGTCAACAAAAGGTTTTTTAATTCTAGTTTTTTTTTTTTTTTCATTTGTTTTAGTTAACGATAATAACCTTAGTTTGAAATATAGCTTTAGCTAAAATATTAAAAGATCTTTTATTATATCTTCTTTTCTTAGCTGTAAAGCTGAGGGGAAGAGTGAGACGCGGCCAGGCAGCAATCAGACTGATGCAGAGTGTGGACCTCCTATTACTGGTGAGACACTGAGCAGTAGTAAATGATTAGGCGTCACAGAGTGTTTCTTTATAAGAAATATGAAGACATGTTTTTTGTACTAAATTATAAGATAAAGACTTTGAAAGCAAGCCTATTTGTTTGTTGCAGGTCCAGCACCTTCCTGGTTTGTAGTTGCATTACTGTCAGTGATCACTGTTCTGTGTCTCCTAATTCTGCTGCTTTTCTGCTACAAGGACAAACTGAAGTTACTTTCCGGTAGGTTAATATTAATCTTGAACCACTTTAACCCTTTTTTTTTTTTTTACTGTGGTGTGAATCCATATTAAACATACTGTATGAGAACTAACATGTAAGGACCAACATGTGAATAATACTATATTCTATATTTCAGTGAATCTTCGATCTTGTGTGCAGAATCTAAAGAGGAGCAGGATCCAACAGGTAAGTAATATTCAATCTTTTTCAGGTTTTCTCTCATTGCAAACACACACTTTAATGCATCTTGCTGGGATTTTGCGTGTTGCATAATTGTAAAGCAGAATGCTTTGTAGAAGCACATTTTAATTCAGTTAGAGCTGCAAGTCTTTGCTTTGCAAATCTAGAAATAAACATGTTGGCAAATCTTTTGCAACATATCTTAAGCTTAGTCTGAATGGCTGAAGAGGTTCTGTCAACATGCATGTTCAGGTTTTGCCATGGTTCTCATTGGAATTTATGCCTGAACCTTTACTGTGCCGCTTTACTTTTCTGTCACATATAGGTTTTGCAGTTCTGGATTTGTGCGAACGTTGTAGCTTTTTCCTGTGGCAAACTACAGACTGTACTGCTGGAAGAACTCTGAATGCATTTATGTTTTTTGCACTGGATTCAGTCTAGGAGTGTTAGAGAATAGCCTTAATGTAAATGCATGAAACACTTTCAAATGTTCGATTCTAGCATGAAAAAAAGATCACACCAAATTCTGACATTCAAGATTATAAATTGAATTAACAGACTTGTGTTGGTTCTATCACTGTTTCATTCTAGGAGACTTTGGCCCCTCTTTACCGCAGTGGAGCTTCAGCAGGAGGAATACCAGAAGTTACTGGCTCCAAATGCACACCATGTGAGATGACTAAACTCATCTGCCAAGCTTCCCACAGTCCTGAGATCGACCCTCTGTGCACATTCCCAGCCTCTGTTCCCTGTGTCAGGATCTCTATGCCTTTCACAGAAGGAATGGCAGAAAAAGTAAAGGAGAAGACAGTGACAGAAACTGAGAGCCAAGGATCCGGAGAACCAGAAGAACTGTCAGAAGAGGAGGTCATTAATGCTTCTCCGCTTTTGGCAGGTTCCTGTGTGTGCCTCAGTCTGGTTCGTGAGCCACTTGAAGTAGGAGAGAACGAGGACTGTAGCCAGGCTGTTATTCCTGGGACTTTGGGAATGTGCTCCTGCGGAGGTATCGAAGGAAAGAGGGATGGAGAGGAAAATGGAAAAAAGGACACAAGTGAAAATCAAATACCAGAAGAAAAGGTTGATCAGGAAAAGATAGTCTCATCTATGAGTGAGACATGTGTTAGATCTCTTGTCTCAGTTTGTCCCCCACTCACCAACACCTCCTCTCTGGTTCTTCCATCCATTCCCCATGTTGAACTCTGCCTGCCATTGTCCCAGGCTCAGGGGACGCCGCTGTCCACTTCCAAGCTTTCTGACAAGTCGCTGGTAAAACAGGACGAATTATACAGACTGGCAAGCACAGAATCTGACTCAGCTGAACATATTGAAGCCTCTGCTATGACCCTGGTCAGTGCTGTGATGATGTCCACGTCTACTGGAGAACTGTACCTAGACAAGTCTCAACAAGCCTCCAGGCTGGAGCCGGGCCAGGGCTTTTTCTGTGGGGATAGCAGAGAGAACAAGCTGTCTCTGGAGGATTCAGAGCTGGAGTGCTCGCCGGAGAGCCTCCATAGTGAGCTGGCTGAACCAACACCGACCTCAGGTATGGAAATGGCAGAGAATATTTTAACTGAAGGACCTATTACTGAAGATGTTTAAAAAGTAAGACAGATTTTAGCATGTTAAAAAAAATAATAAAGAAGTAAATCATGGTGTAACACATTTAACTACACCTGCACAATACATGTTTAAGAGAAGAATGCTATGCATTTGGTAAGTTATTTTATTACTGGTTTGTGCTCTTTTGCAAACACATTTTTCAGGGCCTTCTCCTCTTTCTGCACGTATCTCAACCATTAAGCATACACCTCAGGTCTAACTTAAAGCTGCAGTCCATCCGATTGTCTAAATAAACTGTCCATATGCAGCCTGTGAACGTTAATATCCAACCACTTGTTGCATTCATGCAATTCTTTGCAGTTATCATATCATATCATTTATTTAAAAGTATAAATGATGATTTAATTAGGAGAGTCTGAACCTAGTGGGTTAGAGCAGCACACTTGTGCTCTGAGAAGGTTGCAAGTACCTACTGTAGTTCGATCCTCACAGCCTGCACTCTGGGTACCTGAGCAAACTTTTAACCCCACAATGCTCCCCGGGCGCCACACAATGGCAGCCCACTACTGCTCCCAAAGGCAATGGGTTAAAATGCAGATTTCCCCTTTGTGGGACAATAAAGGGATTTGAATTTATTTATTTCTAAATAAATTCTTAAAGGGACATATTACTGGCAACTTATTAAAGATAATGAATATGCTAACTTATAATTTAACAAAAACACACAGTGCTTTTATGATTGGTTTATTACAGTTCATGAGGGTCAAAAGTTGTCTTTTCCAAATCCATTCAGTTTTTTTCTCTGCAGCGTTCTTTGTAATCCAAGTCTCACTGGGGTACAGTTTATAGAAATGTTGTTTTGTGTGGTTTTTATGGGGTAATAAAAACTCTTAAATCTATTAATTTTCACATCAGGCCTTTGGAAGTCTTAAATACCAAAGAGATTTTCCCTTCCAGGCATTTAAATTATTTCCTTCTACTCTTCTCAAAACAATTCAGTGATGGTATAATTATTAGATCCATCTGTTTTAGTTCTGGCTGAGGATTTCAGTCAGAATTGTTTTAATACACTGTAGGGGGGAAACTACACTACCCATGATGCAGCAGAACTCAAGTCATGATGAATGGAATTTATCGCTGGACACTTAGTTCTCCCTTCACGCTTCAATTGTTGCTTATTTTAGGATCTGGAGAGCGTTAAAATATATGTATGTATTTACAACAGTATAATATATAGAATATGCATTTTTTTCTTAATGGAAACTAAATAAACTGCTGCATAGGTGAGAAAAAAAAACATACAAAAATTGTGATTATTAGCTTCCTTAACCTAAATAAGAACAGTTTGTAAAAAGTTATTAATAAAATCTTCAGTTTAAATGAGCAAAACTTGCAGGGATGGGTTAAAGTAGCCTTCAAATATACAAATAAATGTAATATAGAAACGTTAAAAAGTTTATTACACCTGAACCAGACATGTTTGTTATTGACGGGTTAGCATTCAGGGAAATGTTTTCATATCCTGCGACTTAAAGGTTTTAAAACAGAAAAGTTCACTGGTCAGCTCAGGCTTAACGCTGTTTTAAGCATTCTACAGTGAGCTTAAAACAGCGGTTTGGTGTCAGAATAACAATAAGAGTTCTGGCTTTTTCCAAGAACCATGTTTTATTAAAGCCAGCACTGATAGTCGGACTCTGATTGGTGGGGGACCACACAGAGAGCAGGGAAAAGATATGTGTGCGTTTGATGCGTTTGAGAACCACCAGAACCACATTGGAACAAACACAGTTTAGTCGGTCTGTGAGTGTGTGTCTGTGTGGATCTGCAGTACAAAAGCTCCTGTTTACCCAGAGTTCCATAGGGTTGCGCAAAGTGACCACAGCTTTAATTGAAGCAAGATGTGCACAGCTTGAGTAATACTTTTATAATCTTACCCTCCCAACACACACAAACACCATCTCTCTCTTTTTTTTTTTTTTTTTGACTCTCACTGATGACTCGGCGCTTTAATTACATGGTTGCTGACCTGAAATGAGTTTCCATCATGCAGTAATGACAGCTATTTAAATACCACTTCCCGCGTCTGCTATTTAAAGGTTAAGGGGAAGGCAGGGGTTTGTACCGGGACACCTGAAATGTCTAATAGCCGTTTGATGAGCAGAAAGCCGGGGTCCGGAGAAGCCATCCAGCCGCTTCTGAGAGAAAGACTTTGTTAATTTCTGATGTTTTGCTTCAGTTTAGAGCTAACCCTGCAAAGAAAAAAATATATAACAAAAACAATAAAAAGAACACAAAAAATAAGCAGAATTAGGAAAGGATAAATCATAAGAAACCAGTGACATTCCATCGAGCTTTGTTTTGAAAGCTGTGGTTGAATGACACATTTTTCTCAGACCGGTATTCCAGGAAAGGGCCGGGACACAGAGAGAGGGAGCTACAGTGTTTGTCGTCTTAACTTTTATAGATCCAGGTGCACCTTTAAATTTAGCATACATGGGTGTGAACATACCTGCTAAAAATGTGCTTCCTGATATTTGCTGTGATTTTTGCCTGAGTGGGTTGGAACAGATGAGGTCCTACTAGTGAGTCACGGCCTGGAAAGTCAGACAGTAGGTGGGATGAAATGGGAAGCAGGAGCTTAATGTGGTTAAATATGACTTAGGAAACAACGTTTGATTATCTAATAATTTACATTGATCATAATGGCAGCAACATTAATCCTTTTAAATAAATCCTATCTAAAATCACAGAGGTCTGGAATTTATGCTGTGGACTTTAAAGAGTGGCTGGAGGGAAATGACACAGTCATCTATAGACATGAACTTTGCGGCCATCTTGCAATGTCATTAAACCCATTTTGCCACTCGACTCGGTGTCTTAGTCACCAAAGATTAGCAACTAACGGTTCATTTCTTTACCTTTGTGATAAAGTGGGTGAGAACACCATTTGTCTCAGTTTATACATTTGTTATTTTTCTTGTTTGCTTGATTTAACCATCTCTTTATTCTGTAGTTGCATTCATATACTACCCCAGGTTTGTTTATGAATGCAAACTACAGAATAAGGATAGTTAAATTAAGCAAACAAAAAAAATAACAAATGTATAAACTGAGACAAATGGTGTTCTCACCCGCTTTGTCACAACCTTGCCTTAAAAACGTCTGGCTTGTGTTGTGAAAGTAGTTTAAAATTTTACATAAAACCACAGCATTCATATTTTTTCAGCACTTTCCACAATTGTTTTGGGATTTGTCATTGAACCAATCATCTTATTTGCTCCTCACTGTTTTTTTTTTTTTTATATTTTCTGTTCAGGTCTTGTTTCTGGCAGCCGCAACACCACCTTCATCTCCAGCGGTCAGGTGATGAACGTCAACGGTGATGTCATCGTCGTCTATGTGAGCCAGACCTCTCAGAACGGTGACGAGGTTGGATCGGACGGCGCCTTCGGGAGCCCCGTTCAGGAAGAGGCCAACGAGACAGCCCAGTTTTTCCACAGCTGCCTGCGGTCTCCAGGGGACTCCGTTTCCCATAACACCTTGCGAGAACAGACACTGCCAGTACAAGAAATGATAGTGGGAAAGTGAACTATGAAGAGCAGCTTTCCAAACAGTGATCATCTCTACAGTTTTATTATTTGATAAAATAAATAAATTAATAATATTTTTTAAATCATACTACATTCTTCATTTCTTATATTATATCCAGGCCTTCTTAGTTGGAATCTTTTTTTTTTTTTATTCTTTGTTGCATGGAAATTTTAGTGGGATCTTGACACTAATAGTTAATACATAACTAATTTCTCACATTACATCCTCCATTCCCACGTTTGTAGACTTTTCACTAAGTTTGACATTTGGATGATTTCCTCACATAACAAAACATCCACCATGTGGAAATAATTTTCATGTTTTTCTTATTTTATGGTTGAAACTTAACTCTTTTAGCCATAGTAAAAGCCATAGTATCTGAACAATGATAAATCTAAAGCATTTCACTGAGTCAAGCTTTCTGAAGCTACTTAATCGACATGAAAACATTTTAAGATCTGTTATGAAGCTTTTTTTAATCTGTACAGAGACGTTGTTTATTGTATCCTTATTGCACTGGATGTGCAATACATGTTTAAGAGAAGAATGCTATGCATTTGATAAGCTATTTTATTACTGGTTTGTGTTCTTTTGCAAATTTTGAATGAAGAAAATCCAAATGTTTTTTGTAAATTCTTAATGTTTTTTTTTTAACCTACATTTTAGAGGTGAAAGATGATTGTATATATTCAGAAGAAGCATTATCTGTTTGCAAAGGAAGTATGAGTTTTTCTTCGTTTGATTTTTGGTGGGGATGGGTTTGATCATGTGGTGCAACTGAGAGCAGGCAAAATCAGAGCCATCATAAACGTAAAGGTTAGTGGCCCCTGAAAAGGCCGGTTATTCATGCTTTTTTTTTAAAACAGAAAACAATTTTGGCTGTTATGAAACAAATTTAGTCAATCCTGTTGCTCTTTATTTAAAGATTATTTAATGTATCTTTTATACATTTCAATATTTAATGTGGCCCTATACTGAAAAACTGTATGGTGTCATCATTAACACCTGCATAGACTGGAAGATCTTTTTGTTTCTTTACAGGGAAAGACATTTTTTGAGTTACAGCTAAATATTCTGATCATAAATATTAATTATTTGGATTTAGGATTTGATATGTACTTAGAATACACCAAAATGCATAAACATTTAATAGCGAATCCAAACCTTTTCATATTCATGTGCCATATGTTATATCAGCAGACGATTGCTTGCATTTATAATTTTTATGTTTACAAAAGATGCTTAGTGTTATTTACCTGTTTCCAAAGTGTATTTGTCCCCTTTTGGACCATAGGTGGTAGATATAGTTATGCTAATTATCTATTCCTCTGGCAGGTTAAGGTTTTAAGCATTATTTTACACTGACCAAAATGTTTTTTTCTGGTATTAAGCTATTTTTAAGTTTTAGGCTATTCTAGCCAGAGTCCTGAATTAAATCTGAAATATAATCTATGGATGGCGCTTAAGAATAATATAATGACTGTAGATGCTTTTAGTTTTACAGACTTTGAGCTCATCTTTCAAAATATATCTATCTAATACTAGAAGAGGCATACAAACTGAATTTCATTGCTGCAATCTCATTTTTAAAAATATAAAAACTAGGTTAAATTACTTATGAAGATCCATTTTAAGAAAAAAAAAACCCAAATAAATAAATGCTGTTGGATATCTTTTTAAAGTGATGATCTGAACCTTTCTTGATGTTTTCTCAACTGCTAAAAGCTGTTTGTCTAATTTCCAATCAATTATTGGGTGAATGATATTTATTTTGAATCTAAATCAGTATGAATGCTTTTGGCTCAGTTTTCTTTGGAAACTATTTAAAGACAAATGAAAGTTGAATGAATCTTCAATAAAAGTAACTTCTGTGGTTCTGCCATCTCATAGCACATCTGATAAATACGTTTAAACAAAAAAAAAGGACATTTTCTTAAAACTTGTGCTAAAAACAAGCTAGAAGAACGACCTTTATGACTTTTGCCATTTCAAATCTCTTGTATCTGAACTGGGATCCTGTCTGTCGCCAACCATCCATTTGGTTGTGCAACTCAAATTACTTTTGTTTTCTGGAAAAAGACTGAAGGAAAAAAAAAAAAAACAGAAAATAACAGCATGCTTTGCTTTTGTCTTGCTTGGGTTCCCAACACTGATCAATCACAACCTCCCCATGAGCATGCAGCTTTTAACAAATCCTGTACATATCAATCAACCCTGATGCGATGGATAAATGAAATACTTTTTTGATCAAACATGCTTTAAATTCAAATATCTTTTGCATCGTTGTCTTTCTTTGATAGATGGCAGTCATCCTGCATTCTGTGGTCTCTCTCTGTCAACTTTCCTATTTTAGGATGAACAAATTACAATGAAAGAGTCCTCCTCCTGATGATCTATAATCCCTATGAAGCAATTCTAATTATATATGTGGCAAAGTCCCTTTTGTGTTTGTCCCAATGCTGACAGACAGGCAGCCTTTCATCAAGCCAGGGGATGGCGAGCAGCTGTGAGGAGAAACTGCTCAAGCAGTCAGACCAGCTAGCGTCAAAGGCAGACCACATGAGAGGAGCTGGCAAAGCTCATTTAGGCCTGGTTTGGGTCAGCAGGGGTATGTTTATAAATGCGTGTGTGTTTGTGTGCGAGTGTGCATCTCATCCCTGCTTATTTTTATGGTTGTTGGAGAAAACAGGAAGTTATGACTAGCTTTCACATGGTTTACATGAGAGATGGTTGGCCAGCCAGCACAGAGCTTGCCTTTACAGTCAAAAGATGATCCCCCAAGCTTTAAATAAGAAATAAAACTGTACAGCAATTGACTTTATTCTACCCCCTAGTGGTAATTTCTAGTTAAGATGGGAAAAGTGGAAAAAAATTGCTAAACAGCTATAGGGCGTGAACATGTGTTTGTAATGTGTTTTAGACACAGATCCTTACAAATGATACCATAAACAGTTTTTTCTTTAACTTTTGTGCACAAGTAAATATAAGAAAAGCACATCAGTGCTCCTGTTTACAAAAAGGCACATAAACCAGTTTTTAATCATCACTTAAACAAATTCAGAGTTTGTAGAATTCCCTAATTTTCCAACCTGCCATAAACATTTCCATAACTTTATCCCTGACATGTCTGCTTCATTCTTTGATCTCCATGATTATGTTTTTTCCAGTAATCTCCATACCTGAAGAAAAGAAGAATTATGCATTTACAGGTTTTTATTCCAAAATTAAATTACTCACAGGCTGACGTTCAATCTGTCCTGCTCATTCAAATTCAGAATAAATCTGAAGGCACTTGCCTAAATTACCTTTAAAACATTTTAATGGCACATTAATTATTTTTCTTCACTTGTGAATTATGCTCTACTTTATCTATGTTATAAAATTCTAATAAGATACAGTGAAGTTTGGGACAAAATGTGAGAAGGTTTAAGTGACGCTCTTACAGCTCCTCTTTGGACTCTGACTTAACTACAGAATATTTACTTTTTAACATTTTAATGGTATTGAGGACTGCACACAGAAGGGGAATCCCTGTCTTTGCTGCTCTTCTGGTTTCAACTCTCGTAATCTTACCCTGAGCTGTTGGTGTCAGCCCAATGAGCAAACGGGATAAGAGCCTACCTAGAATATTCAATACAGGTGATAGATTTAGAGCTGTGGAAAGCACCAAAAAGCCTGCACTAATAAAATGCTGAAATTACAGTGGTCCCACCTGTGAAAACAGGTTTTAAATTTCATTTACTCCCTTTCAGATGACAGCAAACGTTTATATAGTCTCTAACTACTTCAATTTAAGTGTTAAGCTTTAAGTATCAATAGCTGTTTCAGATGAAATGTAAAGGAAGTAACTGAATTCTGCTCAGTAAAAACTATTCTCAAACTTTAGAAGAAAAGTCAGCCATCTGATAGTTGGTTAGCTGCGTCAGTAATTGATTAGATGTAGCATGCAGGAATTAAATTAAAAGATCTCTTTCAGTTTATTTCCTTGAGTTGCTGCACAGTATCGCTTGTCATGTGGCTGCTCATCAGCGTCCCAATTACAGATTCCATCTTAATCCATTAGTTACACTGACTGCATTCAAACAGAAAGATATTTGTATTAAATAGTAACGTCCCATTAAGGCTGTAAACCTTGTGAAAGGGGAAACATATTTTTATCTAATTCTTGTTCACTCTTTCTACCAGATCGCTGAACCTGAGCCCTGGAACAAACCTCTACAAATGATAGTGCCATTTTCATTTTAGAAGAACGTTTGCCTGTCTTCTTCCCGAAAGCCGCAAAACGATGCAAACTATCAGGTAAGAAATTTCTTAGAAACATAAATTGCAGACTTTTTTTAATAGTATAAGTATTTGGAGCAAGACTACTGAACGCATGTTTTAGATGGAAAATAATATTTGCTTTGCTTGAACCTTCTAGGTGGCTGAATCCATAAAAATCAAACTGGTCTATCTATTCTAACCTTTTTTTTCTATCCATATCCATATATATATATATATATATATATATATATATATATATATATATATATATATATATATATATATACATATATATATATTCCTTTTATATATTCCTTTCTGACTTTTTTATTAGATTTTTTTTGTGAAATCTTCTTTATAGGGAATCAGATGATTATATATAGAGACCTTAAATGTGATATTTGATTCCTCAGGTCTCTTTTCAATCCCAAATGGTCATCAGATGTGCGTCTGGAGGGGAAGACAGCCATAGTAACAGGGGCGAACACTGGAATAGGCAAAGAAACGGCTAAGGACCTGGCCGCCAGAGGTGAGAAGAACCAGAGAGATATTACGTGTACAGGCAAAAAGAATTTCACTGTTCAGAAGACTTAATCTATCTTCTGCAGGTGCCCGAGTGGTTTTGGCTTGCCGAGACACGGCGAAAGGAGAGCAGGCTGCGTCTGACATCATGCGGGAGGTGAATGGAGCCAAGGTGGTTGTCAGGCAGCTAGATCTGGCTGACACAAAATCCATTTGCCTGTTTGCTGAGACTATCTACAACAGTGGGTGAAACAGATTAAAGTTTTATATATATATATATGAAAAAGAATTGTAAAAAAACCCTATTCTGTTTTTCAGCTGAGAAGACACTAAACTACCTTATAAACAATGCAGGCGTGGCTATCTGTCCTTATGCAAAGACAGTGGATGGATATGAGATGCAGTTTGGTGTCAATCACTTGGGTAGGGAATACAAATTGAATGAAATGTTTACTTTAGTTATGCAGCAAAAGTATGAAGTAGGGCTCTTTTCCTTTTATTCTTAGGCTCTGTTGTGCAAAAAACTTAATCTCTCACTCCATTTTTTCTCCGTTTGTTCCTCCTTAGGTCATTTCTTCTTGACCTTCCTGCTGCTGGACTTGCTGAAGCACTCGGTCCCATCTCGGGTCATCAACGTGTCCTCCACAGTTCATGCCATGGGCAAGATCCAGTTTGATGACCTGAATGGGGATAAAGATTATCACCCTGTCAGGGCCTATGCTCAGAGCAAGCTGGCTAATGTGCTGTTTACCAGAGAGCTGGCCAAAAGGACTGAGGGTATTATGTGTGTTTGTGTGTGGATATGGATGTGTGGAAGAAAAACACTCAGGGGCATAGAGACTGACAGTCCGTCTTAGACTGAGTGTCCGTCCTTCTGCATGGAGGAATTAAAAGCCTGCTTCTGCTGCCAGCGTGATAGTCTCATGCCTCAACCACAATCGCTCTAAGCAAGAAACAAAGCAAACAGGCTTTTTTATGAAAAGACTGCTTTACAGTAACACAAAAAGCTGGATAAGCAGAACTCAAGAGGTTCTTCATACATTTAATAAGGATTAAACTTCCATTTCCTGCTATAAAGGGTTTATATTTATAATAATGGTAGAATTTTGGAAGAATCTTTTTAAGTTATTCTCCATTTTCCCTCTCCAGCACTTGGTGTGATGGCCTTTTCTGTGGACCCTGGCATTGTAAACACTGAGATTACAAGGCACATTCGGCGCCCTCTTGTGGACATAGCTAAGATTTTCAGTTTCTTGATAATGACACCAGCAGAGGGAGCCTCCACCACCATCTACTGCGTCATTACTCCAGAGAATGAGATGCTCACCGGTGGATTCTACAAGTGAGACAGGCAGCTATAAACTTGCAATTAAAAATCCAAATTGTCACCAGGAAGTTGTTTTTTCTAGAAATTTGAAATAATTATTTTTTTACAAAAAGCATAGCCAATACTTAAGAGGTCAGTGTTGTTTATTTATTTTTTGTTTGTTTTTAAATATTGTAATAGGCCTATATGACTGTTTGTGAGATAAACAGGAGCACAGCAGAAATATATAGAGAGACATAAAAAAAAGATAAACAATTAAAAAGTCCCTAGAAAACAAACCAAAAAACTGTGGCAAACAATGTTATTAATTCACCTTTGTTTGTTTATCTACTTCATCTTTTCTTTTTTTTTGTTCCAGGAACTGTTCCAGAGCAGACCCCTGCAGGGCAGGTGAGGATGATGGCACAGCTTTGAAGCTGTGGGCTGTGAGCTGCCGCCTGCTGGGCATCCGCTGGAGATAAATAGCCTGCCTTCATGCTGTGCAGCAATGTTCTCACTCTAAAGATTCCCTTTTCATTTTATGCACAAAATGTTAAAGTTCCATTGAACATTATGAATTATACCGACCACCATTAAAATGGGAGGATTATTAAGCTACCCCTCTTGTGCACTTGTGTTTTTGGCATGTTTTGCAGACTTTACATTACTTTACTTTCGTCCTACTTCAACTTTCAACATTTTAATGGATAGTTTCCCTTTGCCTGCTGTGTTTAATAGCATACAATATATTTCTTAATGACAGAATACCAAAAAACTGAAATTCTCATTCATATATTTATCAATAAAAATTTGATTTAGAGAGATCTATGAAAACACTGTGAACACTTTTAACCCATCAAATATTCCTTTATATTCAGATTTCTTAATTATATTTAATGCAAATTAGTCAAAATCTAACAATTTTGCCCAAACACCTGTTGGCTTGCAAAGAGGAGTTTAAAGCTGCAGCCTCTTCATATGCCATCTTGCATCCAAAAACAAACAAAATAGAAACAAGGCTGCAGAAAAAAAAAACATGTAACATGATTTCAACCTGGAGAGACTCACACAGAGAAAAGAAGCAATTTGAGAGATTTACTGACATGAATGAAATAAATTCTTTGGCGCTCAGACCCCGGCAGAAGACATGACGCTGTAAGTCGACATGAGTGTGGATGAATAACTTTGGAAGATGATAAGGAGTAGTTTTCCCTCTGAGGCCCATTGGTGGTGGAGTAAGCTGTAAGTTGAAAGGGTCTAAGAATAGTCTAGTAGTGAGGGAGGAGATGGGGTGGGTCAAAATCTGGCTGTTGCACTGAATGGGGAAGCTGGACCTTCATCCTAATGAAGAACGTCTTGAGAATGATTGGCTTTGTAGAAGGTGCGGCCCATCGTTGATTGGCTGAAGCTTGAATGAAACACATCAGCAGGTGATTTAGGTGAGGCTGATTAATCCTTCAGGGTTGAATTTTCGCTTCTGCTTCATAACACCTGCAGTTAGAGCTTGATTCTTCAGGTAATACTCTTATTTTCTCTAAAAGTAAAGGCAGTGTCGTAAAGTTCAAAGCGAGAGGAGATGCATAGTCCCAAATTACAAATATATGGGTTTATAAAAAATCTAGGCTGTGTCTCATCGACCTGTGGTTGGAAAGCCACTCATCACATACTCAACATACACCTTGAGAAAAATAAAATACGTTGTCTTTGGTAGGAAATGAGTGTTACCCTAAAAAAGTCAATATTTTGGTCATCCCCAGAGACAGTTTAAATGTTGTCATGATTTGCTGTATTCTCGTTCCTCTTTTAAAAAATAGCTTTGGTCAGTTTAAAATGATCAGAAATAGTGACCCTAACTGATGAGCACATCACTGTATTCAGTTTAGCATCTAGAGTTTATTCATTTACAAAGATGGGATCAGGCTAATTCTCAGTAAGTCACAAGTCAGTTTCAAGCCATTCATCAAGAATAACAAGTCCTAGTCACATTATTTACATTTCAAGTCATTAACAACTCATAAGGAGCCATCTCTGAAAAACTAATTGTGTGGATTAGTATTTATCTGTTTTTTTTTTTTTTTTAAGATTTCTTACAAAAATAAATGTCTTACTTTAATAACAGCATAGAGTCATTTTAAGTGAAGATGCTTAAATCCGAATCAAATCACTTATTGGTATTACCTTTAGAGTCAGGTCGCAAGTCTTTGCTAATGTAATGCATTACATCTGACTTCACCAAGTTATAGGCCAAACCTTTTAAACCAATTAACAATTATTAAGCTTAGCTTACTATTCATTATGTCACCCGTAATTAACATTTAATTAATATGTCAAAAACATAGAATTAAAGTTTCTTTTTTCCAAGTGATAAATTATTTGCTGAATTAGGTTTCAAAGCTTTAGGGGGAAATGTTAAGGAAATCTACGGTAATCATATTTTTATTATTCTCTTTATTCTTAGGAAACTTTTAATCTCTTAATTAATTGCTTTACAATGTTTTAACATATCACTTTAATTCGAGCTCCTATGAAATTGATTTATTAAGTTATTTTTGTGTTATGTTGCAAGTGAAGTGAATCTTTATGGTTTGTATCCAGCTCTTTTGGCTAAAAGAATCTGGATCAAACTAAACTATACTGTATAATATGATTTATTAGATTAAATATTATACTATCAAATTAGCTGCAGTTTACCTCTAATTTTACTTCATAAAGGGCTGAATTGTGACCAATTAATCAGGTGAAAACAAGATGAGGTTTGCCTTAACTCTTGGTCCCTATGAGTGTATGAGGCAGGCAAGCAGGAGCCAACAGGAAGGCAGTCTGTTCTCAGGCTGTAACTTGTGAATCAATCATGCGTCAGCTTGCTTCTGATTGGCCCAGCCGGGGAATGCGAAATGCATGCAGCAGGCTTTGTAGAGATGACAACCTGAAAGCCAGTGCTGAACTGTGTTGTGGAGACTAAAGGGGACGCCTTTTTGGTTATTACTGAAGTTACACCATCGCCTCTAAGGTGAAAATCCATTGCTTTGGAGGAATAATGAACTGCAGGTAGGAGTGAAACTATTTTAACTATTGACAATGTTAATAGGCTGGATCTAATGATCACTGGAAATAGTAAGAAGATTAAACTGCCTCCAGAAATGCTCTTAGGATTGTTATCTGACTAACTGCTTGGACCAAAAATCTAAATGATTTCATTTAGTGCATGTGCAGAGTTAAAAACTAGTTTTACAAGAATCCAGTGTTTACTAAAAAAACATTAGAGAGTGGCACACCAGTACAGACATTTAAACTGTAATTGTTTGTGTTTAATTTGTCTGCTTACACACTCAATTAGACAAGAACTCACTAAGAGTAGAATCTGGATACGTTTAAAGTGTTTTTCCTGAATTGACTTTAAACCAGGAGCGCATGCTGTAACCACTGGTCTTCTGAGGAGAGGTTAGATGGGAAAACAGTGATCATCACTGGAGCCAACACTGGCATCGGCAAGGAAACAGCCAGAGATCTTGCAAAAAGAGGTACAGTCCAGTCATGTCCGTCAGTTTTGGTTCTCTGTCTCACTCTTTTCATTGTTTTTAACTTTCACATTGTGTTTTCCATTCAACATTCCACACTGCTGTGAGGATTTAAGCACTTTCGCTGCTTGATGATTGGAGCTAATCTTAAATGTTAATCACACCTAATCTGTCTTAGTCCAACTTAATTAAATATATAATGGTGGAGATATTCAGAGGGTTTGTGAACCCAGCATACCTTAAACAAAATAAAAATAAAGCAAAATAAAATGATGACATTCCTGGATGGAAGTAATGATGTTAAAAGACAGATGGCAGCGATGCAAGTCAGACGAGGCGTCAGTGGGACAGAGGGAGCATTGTGAGGGTCTGATACCCTCCTTAGCCAACAAAAGAGAGAGTTTGAAGGGTGCAGCCATGCACACCCACACACACACATATGCAGACCCAGTGTAATATGAAAACTGGTTGTGCATAGATGATTAAGTCTGTTTGTTCGCCTCAGGGCTCAGCATGAAGCATGCCCCTGCTGCTTTTTGAAAATTACCACCATGCATTCGAGAGAACAACTTCATTCTGTAAATGAAAGGGCAAGTGAGAATTATTTTCTTTTTATGTCATAATGTAGACCTGAAAAAAAAAATATTATTATTTTTGCTGTGTGAAAAATCGAATGAATGCAGAGGTCTGTGGGCGAAAAACAAGAGTGGAAAGAAGAGATGACAGAATAATGACCTCCTCCTTTTTCTTCTTGCTTTTGGAGAATTCAGTATCAGATGATGGCTTCATCTATCAGTAAATGGGATTATGTAATGACAGGATGACAAGATGATTAGGTTTGCACAGATTCATAACAGGCAGCGCTACCTTGGGGCGGATGCATCCCAAGGCACCGAGGGAAATCTGACCAAATCACGACACTTTAATTCATCTTGGTTTCAGTCATTGTGCCAATACGACAAGTTGACAAAGTGCTCTATATTCTCGATTAACTCAAATAAGAGCTGGGATTGCCAATTGATTAATTTAAATATAGAGTGATTAATGAGCTTAACACTTTTGGATGATATGATTGATTGAATTAACTCAAAAAAAAGGAGAACAATTGAGCGTTCCCACGTGGGAGCAGCCTGACGTGAACAAAGACACATTAATGGGACACAGATGCTACATTCCAAGTGATTAATGGCTCCCTACTTTCTTAATTGCAGCGTTGAGCAACTATATAAAATATGTGGTGGTTTTTATTGTTTGAGGACTTTTGTAATGCAGTGTGGGGGCTTCTCGTCTTCCTATACCTGGCTAGTTTTATGGTGATGCATCCAAACTAGTGTGTGGGTGAGAGAAAAAATGAGAATGCTGTCCTCAAAAGCCCTTTCCGGAGCTCATTAAGAAGAATACCTCATAATTTGTGTGAGAAGCAAAGCGACATAGCTGAGATAGTTCGGTGTTCATGCACTGTGGAGCAGTTAGCTAAATTGGCTTTTGAATGAGGGCTTGGAAATCATTAGGAGTGATCAAATGTGCACAAAGACTTTTAAGGACTTCATTACTCTTTAGCTTTCTCTGCTTTTACTCCTTTTTTAATTCAATCAGTATAAAATCTTCAGAAAAGATGATACTGATTTAAATTTGAAAGTATGTAATGTAGCTGATATAATTATTTTTACGTGTTTTTTGAAGAGTAAAAGTAAGAGGGAGTAAAAATATGAGGGAGGCATGCCCTCTGGGTTAATTTACTGCTGCAGTTATGCCTCAGCGGAACAGCTGAGATGAAGTTGGTCTGTCACTACGAGAACACATCTACATCTTTTATCCATTTTCCTGGACCTTGTTTTAAAGGTGCACGCATCATTATGGCATGCAGAGACGTGGAGAGGGCGGAGGATGCACGTACCGACATTTTGGAGGAGACAGGAAATGAGAACATCATTATCAGGAAACTGGATCTGTCTGATAAAAAGTCCATCAGAGCGTTCGCTCAGCTCATAAACAAAGGTAGGCAGGTGACATTAAATACAGAAACACATGAAGCCTATAAATGGATTGCTTCAGCAAACAGGTTTTTAGAGAAGATCTTTGGTGGAAAGGATTATCTGGTTAAGGTTGGTAAGGTTAGTTAACAAATTTCCATTGATGGTTGTGTTTTGCCACTATTTTTTGGGGAATGGTGGCCTAGTGGTTAGGGCATAGAGCTTGGAATCCTGAGGTTATGAGTTCGAGACCCACTTCCACAGACTGCCACTCTGGGTCCCTGAGCAATACCCTTAACCCCACACTGCTCCCTGGGCACTGCACAATGGCAGCCCACTGATTCCCCCACGGGATGGGTTAAATGCATGAATAAATTTCTCCAATGTGAGATCAATAAAGTTCAATTATCATTATTTGCTCTGGTTTACATCAGTGGTCCATTTGTGTTCCTACAAGTATATGTTTCCTTTGTGATTGATATTCAGTAAGTACTAAATTTCCATTGACTGTTAAGCCGATAACGTGCAGTGGATTCATGAATGTCTCCCCTCAATGTAGCTTTAGTTTAACTCCTGGCAGATGTGGAAGACAGATTAACACAGACCTGTTTTACAATAAACAAAAACAATCACTGTATTGGAAATTCATCAGTTTTTTTTTTTAGATCTAGAAGTAGATTAGATAGAATAACAGATTTTAGGAGAAAGCACAGTTTAGACATTTTTTTCCTCACTCTCTGACAATAAATCATAATAAAACCTTCCCAATTTAGGTCTTTTATCATTATCTCAATTATTTCTATTTAGTAAAGGTTTCAATAAGGCAGGATGGTTTTGATTCTTTGGTGTCTGTTTGCATGAATTTCTTTATATCGGAAAGAAATGCTTTTAAACTTGATGACTGCGATCATGATTTAGGTGCTCATACTAGTTTGCTGAGATTGTGTCCATTCCTTCTATTAGAAAACGAATAAATGAATCAGACCCTCTGACAGCTAAACAACATGATGCTGTCATCCATGTGCATCACAGTTAGTGTTCTTTGGCTTTCCAACTTCCCACTGTATATTAAATTAACATTTGCTATTTTCTTCAAGTACTAAATGTAATTTTATCAGAATAATTTTGATAATCCAAACAGGCCTAAAAAAGGAAACATTTGGTTAATTTTAAAATCAGATGGTAAATATCTGCTTTCCATTAGATTAACATAAACATGTCTAATGTTTTCCAGAAGAGCAGCAAGTGAATATCCTGATAAACAATGCAGGCATTATGATGTGCCCTTATTCTAAGACAGTCGATGGCTTTGAAATGCAGTTGGGAGTCAATCATCTGGGTGAGTAATACTAACGTTTGGTGCTCTATCTATATTTCTTTTTTTCCTGAATTTTGTTAAAATCCAAAAAACTACAGAAAAACTGATTGGTTAGTATTGCACTTAAGTGAATTTATTTCTGTACTCAAGAATAGTTAGAAAGAATAAAAAGAGGAGGAAGTCCATCTTGATAGCAGCACAAATATCAAAGAAATCAGCCTTAAAATATTCTTATTTTTTATGCTGTCAGTTTTTGGTCTGTTTCTTTGTCCCAGATGATGTTTATTGTTTGTGCGTTATTTTTGTCACAAGCTGTCAGTGTGAACAGGCTGTACTCAGACACAGTTGCCCACACACATATGGACGCTCAGACACATGCAGAGAGACAGAGACGGTACTTAAGGCGGAATAACCCCTAAATGAAGATCAACATTAAAGAGCCTTTCTGATAAATATTTAAACTCTGTGGCTTAAAAAACAGAAAGGATTAAAGTTCGACAGCAATCAGAAATACTTGCTGTATTTGTCTGAGACCTTTAGGTAGTCTGGATGACTCATATACAACAAGAAAGATCACAGCATTGTTTTGAAAATTAACCTCTAGAACAATTACTGCCTGCCTAATTATTTTATTTTCTGACCCCACCTAAGGTCACGTTCTTTTGACCTTCTTGCTGCTTGACCTCATCAAACGTTCAGCTCCTGCACGCATTGTCATTGTGGCCTCGGTGGCCCACACTTGGACTGGGCTACGACTCGATGACATTAACAGTGAAAGGAGTTATGATGCTATGAAGGCTTATGGGCAAAGCAAACTGGCTAATGTCCTGTTTGCACGCTCTCTTGCCAAGCGGCTACAAGGTGAGCTGGAATTTACAAGCTTTAAATGAACAAACGGGGATCTGAAATGAGCTTCTACGTTGTGATGTATGCATCATTTTTCTGTTTGTTAAAATATAAAATTAATATTTTAAACTCTTTTTTAAAATTCCTGCTTTCAAATGTTTGTGGGTTTTTTTTAGTAGCCCGTATTGAAATTCAAATCACGGCTTTAAATTTAATGTGAACAGGTGCTGTTCCCCCATCCAAAGTGGGCAAAACATTAAGTTTTGACATCAGAAAACACACTTTTCAGTTTTTGTTGGAAACATATATCCCGTTCCTTCCATTTCTGTGCACAATACTTTGTGTTTTTCTAGGATACCATTACTATAAATTATTTAAATTAATGTGAAAAGATGGACAGAAGTTCAAAGGGTATGAAGGCTTTTGAAACTGTGAATGTGTAGCCACCTCTTTTTTCCCACTGCAGGAACTGGTGTCAGTGTTTTTTCTCTGCACCCTGGTGTGGTCCAGTCCGACCTGTGGCGGCACCAGCACCAATGCATACAAATAGCAGTGAAGATCTTTAGGATCTTTACCAAGACAACAGTGGAGGGAGCTCAAACCACTATCTTTTGTGCTGTGGAACCAGGCCTGGAGAGCCTGAGTGGAACCTATTTCAGGTAGGTTTCAGCCAACAAGTACAGCAACTGTTAAACATCTACATTCATGAAACAAGACGTTAAATTTTTCTGCTTTTTATTTTAAAATTATCAGAGAGAACAGAGAAATATCTACTAATTACTTTCTGCCACTGTTTGAATTCAGTGACTGTGCGCCTGCACGCTGCTCAAGGGCTGCTGCTGATGACGACTTGGCCCAGAGGCTGTGGGAGATGAGCTGCAACATGCTCGACATCACCTGGGAGTGAAAAGCAGCAAATTAACTAAAAGCTGTGTGTTTCTTGTTTTTTTTTTTTTTTTTAAAGCACTGTTATGCACTTTTATCCAATATTAGGCCAGTTTTGTACAAATGATGGATTTAGTGAGTGAATTTCAGTGAAAAGCAAGGAAGACAGCTTCAAATTCTACTTTATTTTATATAGAAAAAAATCATATGTTGAAATTTAACAGCATATAGTCTACTGTATTATGTTTATTTGAATGGAAAAGCTTTTAGGAATTGCAGATAGATTGATGTAGAAAGTATTTATATATCGTCTATCTTGTTCAAAAAGGGTTCTTTTAATGAGATTAAGCTAACCAGTTTGTACATTTTATTGCTTTGAATTTTACAAGTTCATTATCCGACTCCTATATTGTGCCGCCTACGGTGCTACATGTTTGGAAATATTAGCTTTCAAAGGAGATTTCATACTTTAGTATGGCGATTAGAGGAAAACAACTGCAATGTAAAAGGTTACTTAAAATATATTGTTACACTAGTGAAGCAACAGATGTTTACAACAGTAGTCTTAATTCTAAGGGATCTCAATACTTGGAAAATATAAAGCACCTCTGGATAAGTTGTTACCCTGAGTGAAGAGAGAACATTTTAAAAATCTTGCTTTTGTTTTATCTTTCCTTTTCCTAAAAACTCTCTCTACATTGATTGATCAACAAAAGTTAGATGCCTGTGTGTTTTTTGTAACTGCTTATTGCATCGTTAGAGTCATACACTCTGCAAACACTCTTCAAATGCCTTTTTTCTCTAATATACAGTATATATATATACAGTATATAGGAAAAATAAAATCTGTGAAATGGCTAGACTGAGGTGATGGGTTGCAACACAATAACGATCAAACATACCTACATGTGATCTTTCACAGTGATGTGAAATATGCTATAAAACAGCAGGGCATCTTGTAAATAATAAACTTTCTAAAGCAGCAAATTGCAGAGTTGTGCATGTTTTTTTCTGCAATATTTATTTGCATATTCTTTTTGCTTATGCTGACTGTTCTGCATTGAATTGCATGAATGACAATAACACAGCTGCACAAAAGCATTTAGAGATCTGAGGCTCTTTATAGACTTAATACCACCCAGATTGATGGCTTAAATCTGTGTCCTTATTGTTGGTTATTTTCTAGTGTAACAATAATGAAATGAAACTGTGGACTCCTGCTGCTGACTCACATGGGTCTTTAAAGTAAAATACCAGAACAAAAAAACTCTAATCTTAATCTAAATCACATGAGGGGGCATTAGAAGCAGAGTTCTATGAGTAACAAGGAATGTGGTCACAGTATTTGACACATGATCCTTTTCAACAGTGCTAGTATATGTACATACAGCATATTCGACAAAGCAATTAAGAATATATAAATGTATTTTTTTTATGAAGTAGTGGCAAAGGATTTTGAAAAAAAAGGGTATTTTTAAATAATAAAAGAATATTGTGGCATTTTTTAAAATGTGTTTTAAGAGATACATTTCTTTTTGAGGCAGAGTATCAGTAAAATACTTCTATAGAATTATTTACACAAATGAATTGAAATAAATTGTAAAATAGCCTTCGAATATGCACTTCTATAATAAGCACAAATGCTAAATGTTCTTGGAACTTTGCTAGAACCTCTGGGAATGATTTCAAAAAAAATTTTCTTTACACCATAAAAAAAAAATATATATGGAAAACCCTGAGCATCCTCTTCATCCGACTGTTGAACAACAGTCTTTAGTCGAGGCTTCTCCAGACCTGCTGTAAGACAGATTCTTCCAACCTACAACCATTAACATCTACAAAGTCTGGTAGAAGGAACTCCTTATAAAAGTTAACAAAATGCAATTTCCCATCAGATTCTTGCAATGAATGCATAAGGGGCAGCACAGTGTCGCAATCGGTAGCACTGCTGCCTTGCAGTAAGAAGGTTCCGGGTTCGGTTCCTGGCCTGGGGCTTTTTTGCATGGAGTTTGCATGTTCTCCCTGAGCATGCATGGGTACTCTCCAGGTACTCCAGCTTCCTTCCACAGTCCAAAAACATGACCGTTAGGTTAATTGACTTCTCAAAAAAACAGCTGGAGATAAGCACCAGCACCCCTCACCACCCCAGCAGGGATAAGCGTGTTGGAAAATGGATGGATGGCGGAATCTATACATACATATATGCACAAGTTGATATAAAAAAATCTAACTAAAAATGACTTAGAAATTGAAAAAAAAAGTGCCTAAAACTCAGTGTTTCAGGCTTAACAGTAAAAAATTCAGCTGAGGGGCATTTTAGAGAAAATAATTTGCATAAAGAAAACCAAAATAAGAAGACTGGATTTAGAGAACTTCTAGAGTTTAATCAGAAATTCTAACATTGAAGGTAGATGGATCAGAAAAAAGAAGTTAGTACAGGTCAAAATAAATAAGTAATAAATAATATACATACAGCATATTAGGTCTTTTTCATCTTTGTGCTTTCATAGTAATACGCTGTATTTTTTTGGTGAATACTTTTCATGTATTATGTCAATAAGAATTTAATTTGTGTGTTAGGGTGAAAAGAATATACCTGTAAAGAAACACATACAGTTAGATTAAGTTTGTGAACTAGAAATAAATTAAAGCATCATTAATCGTAAACCACCTGTACTTAAAGGCCTAAGAAATTTATTCAACGCTGTTTTTAATTGAGAAAATTCCCCTTCCCATTTATGCTGGAGGAAACCTCCTAGCCTTTAGGGGGCGATGTAGACAAACATTTGTGCAAACTAAATAACAAATTACACGTCACACGCATGCGCTGTTCAAGTCTACGTCAGCTCAATTTTTTCCTTCTAGCTGCTTTAAAGCTACGTGGCCATCACTTCTCTGTCTTCTGAGAAAGAACAGGACGGAAACAGGTAAGATGTCGGTTATTCTATTAATCCTAATCTTTTTCTTTTATTAAAATCGTAAAATACTCAAGAGCTCTAGCCCTTAGACGTATTTCGATCGCGTATTTCTAACTTTAAACGGAATGCTACGAAGACGTTAGCTTGTCTTATGATAGTAGGGGGTTGGTTTTTATTAGAGGTTCGTAAAACACATTCATATCTTAATTTAAAAATACCACATTCCTCACTCTAGTGGTATCTTCTTTACTAATGAATGAAGAAATGTGACGAGTATAAAGCAATACAATATTGAGGTATTGAGGTCTCCGTCAGCGCTCTAGCATTTGCTAATGCTGCTTGTGATGCGACTGATTTCTGTCCGCAGCCCAAACATGGATCAGGTCATGCAGTTCGTGGAGCCCAGTCGGCAGTTCGTCAAAGATTCCATAAGGCTTGTGAAAAGGTGCACAAAACCTGACCGAAAAGGTAGGATTACCCTTTGTTCTTCTTTTTGCTTTAAGTTGTTGTGTTAACTTGCTCTGAATTCAAAGAACACTGAAGTTCAATACAATCGCTTGTTTCCCTGTTAATTTTTTACTTTTTTTTTTGTCCATCAGAATTTCAGAAGATCGCCATGGCAACAGCGATTGGGTTTGCCATAATGGGCTTTATTGGTTTCTTTGTCAAGCTCATCCATATCCCCATCAACAATATCATTGTGTAAGTAAAAACACTGATGGATATTTTTTTTTTTTTCAGTTGGTGGAAAAATGTGAAATCTGTAAGGAAAGCAAGCAAAAAAAGCTTAATTTCCATTTAGATAACCAATGAACTGGCAAGCAAAATGTGTATTATATGAATTAAAAACATGTTTCACTATTTTAAATCCAAGTTGTCCTTTCCAAATATGTTCTAATCACAAACTATTGCCTTATGTTGAGTATTTTTAAACATAATTGATTTGCTTAACATTGCAACTGATGCTTGAACCTCAGCAATACTAATTTTATTTAGTTGTCATAAAAATATATTTCCACACAGTTCACTAATCTATTGCAAATGATCTTTTTTGTTGTTGCAAAATGTAAAAATCTATTTTCATGTGTTCATAGTTGTTATAAATCCAAACAAATTGTAACAGAAGCACCACACTGATCTCCAGCCTTGTTATATTATAATAAAATAATGTGGGCTGTTGATGTATAAATGCAGCGGTAATGTAGTTTTTGTCCTTCTAGTCAGTGGGTTTCTTTGTTTTTAAAATAGTTTCCAAACCTAGAGAAAATACAGATTTTATTCTTGTTGAAATGTAGTTTTAATAAAGGGGCAACATGGATGCATGACAGAGTAAAGCTGTAAGCTTTATTATTTGCTAACATTCTTTTCCATCTTTTTCTTCTAGTGGCGGTTGAATCCTGATCAAGCAAACTCTGGACAGACCCTGTACGAAGTGTTATTGGACTGGTGTGATGCCGAACTAAACAGACATTTTTACCTTCTGTGCTCAACATTTATATTTTGTTGTGTAAATAAAACAATTGAAAACAGGCTTTTTTCACAAACTGGTTCTTTGGTTCTTCTGTATTGTTAATGCAGCTTTATTCATTTCACCATTAATTGTAACAGTACAGATATGAAAAGTCTAGATATAGAAAAAAATAGGCACTTTAGCTGGAGTTAAAATATTTATCCCCTAACAGCAGATGTTGGGGAATAAAGGCACATGCAGTGGGTTACAATTTTATGTCCTTATGCTGATTGTCTAAATTCTGACCAGTCATAAATCTGTATTCCTTAAATAGATCTTATCCCACTTCTGGCACTAGTTTTTGTATATAGACTGCCTGAACAGTTTGTAAGAATCTCTCACTTTCCACTCATACAAATGCCCATGCTCCAAAGCAGAGGCTGGTCTGTGGTCACAGTCACAGACTTCCTGGGCTTTCCTGGTGCTGTTGGTTCATAGGTATTGGATGTGCTCACCAGCTTCCCAAACTGCAGAACCTGGTTATCTGGAGTGGGGGGAGAGAAAAAAGGAAAGAAGCAGACTTAGCATGATCACTTTTACACCCTTTTTTAAGGAAATTATACATGGGAAAATACAGTATAACACATAAAAAACTTATCATAATGCAGCACAGTGTTGGTTGACCTACTATAGACGAGCCAATTAATTTAAATGTTTGTTTTTTTTCAAAGGGGTTGAAAGGGAATATCTTTGACTCCTCACTATTAGATAAAAAAAAAAAGAAAAAAACACTTTTAAATTGACAAACTGTATCCACATCACTTAAGTAATCAAAACATTTTGTATTTTTATAACTGCCTTTAAGTACAGCCTCTAATAAAGTGGTTTCATGTTCAGTCTAATGATGGAAACGTTTGTAACTAGACAAATATGAACACTTTGTTTTCATTATAAAGCTCATAGTCTTGTGAACAGAAAAGCTCATTGATGACCTCATGTGGTCAAAAACTGTAATACGTTTTTACTATATGGTAAAATCTGCCATCTATTGGTTACATTTCAAAACTACTCAAATGAACTAAAAGGCAGTTATTAGTGCTCCTACTGAAGCTTAATGCTTTGCTATTGGTTTCAGGATATTTGGCCATACTAAAAACTAAATTACTTCCTGCATTTTCCCTCAGATTTTTATAATACCCTGTACAAGTTTGTATATACTGTGGATTTACCCCGCTAAACATGCTTTCCTTTGTTTATATGCATCTTTAATGTAAAAATATACGGCTTGTTCTTACTACAATTTTGATAATTCATTAAGGTTTATTTTAAGTACTACCTACGAAAGGTTATTAATGTTTGGTAGATATGTATACAGATATGAAAGAAGAAATAGGACGCTAAAGCATTTTATTGAAATTGGTACATTACAATGATATCCCCCCCCCACCCCATTAGGGAACGGCAAACTGCCACTATTTAGCACCCACAGACTATTATGGGTCTAGGATCCCTTAGCAACACAGTGACTAAAAACCAAGGAACTTGTTTCCTTCTTAAGGTAGAAGCTTTCTACTCTAACCAGTAGGCCCCATTCTCCCAACTCAAGAAAGAACACATACAAAAACAAGGGAGGAAGGGCTATAAATATATGCAGGGAAGGAATAAAGAAGGAGACATAGGACACAAGGAAGCAAGGAGATAAGTAAGGGCACAGAGAAGAGAGGGATAAAGGACAAAAAGAAACGTCACAAGGTAGAAAAGACTGAAGAGAGCCAGAACACAACCCAGAAAAAAAAAAAAAAAGAGAACATCATTTATATCACAATGGAGAAATTCACTTCTGCATCCTAACCCATCCCCTTGGGGAGCAGTGGGCTGCCACTGTGGCGCCTGGGGAGCAATCGGAGAGCAGGCTCTGGGATTGAACCAGGTATTTGAAACCTTCTCTGAGAATAAGCACACTACTTCAACCACTATGCCAACACTCCCCTTTAATAACTCCACTTATAAATACAGTATTCTGAGATAAATCTGAGATTAAACATGTACAACCCAGATTAGACTTCAACCCACAATCCCCATCTCTGGAGGCTGATGCCTTATCCATGAGGCCACTGGGCCTTTTCAAGGATGGAAAAGAAGGCCAGCTCTGTTCTAGGAACTCCTCAAGAACCTCAAGATTATTTCACAAATAAGAAGTCTTTATAATGTGAAGAAAATTATGGAAAACAGTGAGCATCCTCTTCGGATGATTTTTAAACAACAGAGTATCTTCAGTAAGAAGTTTCTCCAGCTCCGGTGGAAGACAGACCTCCACAGAAGATCCTTCCTGCCTACAGCTATCAACACCTACAACATTTATTTAAAGAAATAACTTATGAGTTACTGCAACATTTAATTTCCCTTTGGGATTAAAAAAGTATTTTTGAAATTGATTTGAAATAAAAACCAAACCAAAGGAAGAAGTAGATAGAAGCATCCAAGAGGAATCAAGGAAAGGATGAGAGAGTAAAAGACAAAATAAAGATAGAACCCTGAGAGAAGTAAAGGATGAAGTAAAGATTTTTTTTTTCTGTTAGAAGTTCTTCTTTCCACAACAATCCGTCATACGCAGTATGTTACAAGCATAACACTCAATCCGCTCAACTGTTTGCTGGATGGATGCTGAGGAGGAAATGCTGTTGTAAACTCAGTTCTATAATGAAAATGACTAGGCTTCCTTAGACAAAGCAGATTTCAATCAAAAAAAAAAAAAAAAAAAAAACTGAACCTGAATTTATTGCTCAACTAGGATCGAAAAGGGATTCATTATTTGCAGAGTGCATTGGAGATGATATTTGCTGTAATCTGGAACTGAATACCTGATACCTTTTTAATGAGAGCAAGTGGCCAATTTATTGAGCGAAACTATGTTAAAATAAGGACAATTGTGTAGAATTTGGTGAGGCAAAAATAATTGGTCTGTAAAGGAACAAATAAATCACCGTGCTTCAACAGGCAGAAATGACAGAAATATGAAATCACCTTTTTTTCAATTACCAGTTAGATTTATTTATGCAGCATTAGCTCTGAACAAGCTGCGCTGACAAGCTCCTTGAGAATGGAGCTGCTGAATCGTATCTAATATGAAAAGGGCAAACTCACCAAGAACATTTACAGAGTGCTTCTCTGTTATTTCTGCACCTTTATCTGTCACAATGTTCTTAGCATCAGCAGTGGGTTAAATATCAAATCAATGAATGGCTGCACAGTTCAATAACTCTGCCAACATCTCTTTTAAAAGTGTTTCCTCACAAAATAACGACCAAAGACTTGTACTTTTTATTCAAGAAGCACAGAAATGAAATTAAAATAGTATAGATAGATAACATACACATATTCACATAACACACACACTCATATATTATTATATATGAGTGTGTGTGTTTCTTTAACACAAAACCCGGCACAGAATTTGACTTAATATCTGTTATATCAGGTTAATTAGAAGTTTGAAATCTGAGAGATCTTGAGAACATTAAGAACAGCCAGAAGAATACTTTTTTTCTAAGTCCAAATTTAAAATGCAGGTAACACTATCATATTTGTGCTGACTGCGAGGACTCATTGACTATCTGCAATCTCTCGCACTGAGCATGCATGTAGAGACAGTGGAGAGGAAAACTCCCTTTTAACAGGAAGAAACCTCCAGCAGAACCAGGCTCAGTGTGAGCGGCCATCTGCCGAGGCGGACTGGGGTTCAAGGAGGCGGAAGAAGAGAAAGACATAAACAAAATAAGTTCTTTGGCTCTTGGGCCCCTGTAGAAATCTTCGATGCAGTGAATAAATGAGCGCTTGGATGAGTAACCTAAAAAAGGATTAGAGTAGTCTTAAGCCAGAGGGTGAGTGGGACTGAGAATAGTTTGAGAATGAGGGAGGAGATGAGGTGGAGCAGGGCGAAAGTTCGCTTAAGTGCGGGAGAGAGAAGCTGGGCTAGAAGCTAAATAAAGGGGATCTTGCAAGATGATTGGCTTCGGAGAGGGTGCACTCCCCTGAGTTGATTCGCTGGAGCTGAACAAGGGACATTGCAGGTGGTTCAGGTGAAGCTGATGAAAGTCTTCCAGATTGAATTAAGCTTAAGCTTAATTTCTAAATTCTTACAAAGGCCAGAATGCTAAAGAAGAAATTATTGTGTTTCAATATAGCCTTAGTCATATTTCCCTTTTCAAGTATTGTCTGTTTTAAGGAAAAATTTTCAATTAAAAGTAAAAGAAGTTCAAAAACCCATTTTTTTTTGTCTGATTTATAATATTAAAAAACACCGGCGTTTTATTTAACAGGCTGGGTGTGTTTGCCTATACATATATCTACAATACATTTGTTTAGCTTCTCCTCTCTGTCTTTGAAATGCGAATGGTCAGGAATCCTTATACCATTTAAGCTGAAAATCTTATGTTTAATTGTAATATCTGAGCAATTACATTTGTGAATGACTTCAGCTTCAGTTCAATGAGATTAAGTTACATTACTCTATGTAGCAGAATTCACAACAAATGCAATCTCAAGGCAATTTTCAAGACATACAGATTTAGTTTATATACAGAAATATCTGGTCACTTTAATTATAAAGACATATTCAAAGTCATCTGGCTCAATAAAAAAAAAGTCCTGCTCATTATTTCGTGTAAAGCATAATGAGATATAAGGATAGGCTGGGTTGGTGAAACCCTTAAGGTAAATATATCACAGACTTCTGGTAGAGAACTCATTGTTTTCACAGCTCTCTGTTTATTATTTTGCACCATAAACTTTATCTGCTGCTTAATGGCTCTCTGCTGTATAATTAACAGTTTTCTGTGATACAAGATCCTTTTTTAATGTCACCGCATGTGATTCAAACAAGAAAATAATTCTTAATGTGGAACAGATACCAAAGATGGAAAAAATATGGAATATGTGAAGTCTTAATATAAGGAACTCCAAAAAACAGCTTTCACTGTTTGATCACCGTAAAAAGAAAGCTGAACAGTGTATTAAGAAATAGTGTTGCATGAATATGCAAAAGCAGTTGTTAAAACAATGCAATATAAAGGTAAAACCA